CCATGGCAAATCGAAAAACTCATTTCGCTGCAGTCTGAGGAAATTCCCTCACGCTTCAAGCTCCTCTCTGTTCCTCGGCGACCGTGCGCACCCCAGACACGCGGCAGTCTGGAAGCGGAACTTCACGCCTGTGTTTTAGGGATGTGGCATCTTAAATGATAATGAGAGACATCTGTCTCGCTGGGCGGGCACAACAGCAGCCGTCTTTGTGCCAGGGACAGCTGTATCGCAAGGAGAATTTGCAGGTACCTGCCAGTGAGCTCCCTGTAATCAGCCAGGCTGCTCTAAGGTCATTCAAGCAAATGCCCACCTGTCATAGTGGGCTTTTTGCTACCAAACAGACACAGGAAACATCTGCTTCCAAGCAGGTTCATTAGTGTTAAGAGAAACTGGATAATAATGCATTTAATTACCACTGTAGAAATGGATATGTTTAAACGAGAAGATATTTTAAAGTGGCTACAGGATGAAGATTGGGAAGAACGGGTGACTGAGAGTATTTTCCATGGGATATGACTGTGCTGCTGATGGTATTTTTCTGTCATTAAATCCTTCTTTCCAGCTGTCTTCAGGAGACAGTTGTGCATGCTCACGAGTATCATGGACACAGAAGGATACATGCTTTACTCTATGAGCTAAGCGATACGTTGAGTTCATTGGTCTTAAACGTCAGTCCTGTGGCCGATGTATTCCCATACTGGTGTGGTAGCTCAGTTCCTCTAACTTCATAGTTTCATTATTTAAAAAATTAGACTAAACCACTCAGCAAGGCTCCAAAGTAAAACCTTATTAGATTATTTTTTCTTTCTCTCTTTTTTTTTTCCCCAAAATTAATTGCCCAAAGACAGGCAGTTACTCCTTATTAAGAACACTTTCCCAGCACATCTCACAGTGGTACTGTCAGCTAGAATGTGGAATCTGTAATGGTAACAGCTGCTGCTGCAGAATGGAGATATAAAGGAGAAACAAGTAAATGTGAGCTTGAACTAGCCATTGTTTTGAACTAAATGCAAAGTAAGATAAAATCCAGGGTAGGGTGTTACATACCACTGTGATGAGATACTCCTTCACTGTTTATTCCGTAAGTAGTACCATCACAGACCAGTTGTAATGCGATTGGTATGGTAAAACAGGTTCGGAAGGCTGGCTAGCAGGCGAAACAACAGCACAGATTTCTCCTTCATTGTGCAGAAGATAGCATTAATTGTATGATAAACTACTTGCAGTACCAGTCTGTAAATTGCATTTCACTGCTGTGAAATTATTTTTTAATAAATTTTAAATGTTAAAAGTAATGTCTGTAAAAATACTATAGCAGTGCAGAGAAGTATAATTTTTTCAACATTCTCTTTGGTGTTTTTACAGTATTTTACATATAATAAAATTCACCATTTTCATTTCAAATTAAATTATTTTACTATTCCCATGAGCAACCTGTAGAGTGGATTTTTTAAACATAAACCTAAGGATCTTATGGGAGCTGCT